TATTTATTTATTATTACTATTATTATTATTATTATTATTATTGTTATTATCATTATTATTATTATGAAAATATCTCTTCGATACCAGCGCACTTTCACTTTTGTTAATGGCCGAATAATCTAAAACCTTCAAGCAAAGGAGAATATTGCTAAATTATATTCTTGAAATACTCATTTTTATTCCAATACTCATAAATCGATATGTGATATAATTTTTTTTTTTATATTTAACGATTACAACTTCGTGAAATATTGGTGTAGCATTGGTGAAAATATTCAATTTATGCGGTTTACATTAAATTGTAAATATTTTGTTGTACAAAAAAATAAAGAGGTGAATTTTTTTTGAAAAAAACCTTTGAAACTATGTTGACACCGACACATGTCAACTAACAAATCCCATATGTTATATACCGTCATATACATCAAGAGTACTTAAGAATCTGCAAGTACCTTTTAAATTTCAATTATTACAGTTCACAGCAATTAAAATTAATTTTGAACACTAAAGTAATCTGCCACTATAAAAGATTGTACATCTAATTTTAGTTTCACTAATTAACTTCAAAAAACGAAATATTATTTATGTGACCAGCATTCAAATCACCGAGGCGGTAGCAGATGACAATGAACATTGATATTTAAGAACTAGCTATTGCAAAGCTGAAAATTCGTTTAAAAGCTTTCTAAAAATATATCTTCTCATTTTGTTAATTAACATACCTTTCTTTGATAACGAAACTTCTCCAAATACCTTTCAATATGGTTCACAAACGTCAAAGGCACTCGCGTCTTCTCCGTTACCCATAATTCACTTCCTGAGACTGTCGAATTCGCGCACGTAGTCTATTAGTTTCACTATGATAAAATTAAGAAACGGACAGAAAATTTTCAGATGAAAATTATAATCTCTTCATGGACTAAAGAATCGAGAAGATATTTCAGAGTTTTTTAATATGGCGCAGCTTTCAAAGAGCCTTGCCCACTGGTGAGTGAGAAGCTAGCCGCCATCTTGGTGAACGCATGCGCCGTCCTCGAGAAAAGTCGAGGACGAAGGCCACGCATGCGCGTATTGGTCCCTTCGTGGACCCCTCTTCATGCTATATGGGCCTGACGTCAGAATTGGGACACCAGAAGTGATGACTTCAACCAACAATGTACGCAAACAAATTACGAATGTTACTTCTCTTACTTTAAATTATATTACATTCATGTTATATGTAGATGTCTTCTAATAGAATATGCGAATACAAACGTTTCTATTTCAAATTAGACATTTTTTAAATAATACTATAAGAACATTTTAGTAACCCTATTTCAGAAGTATATAACAATTTTACCTGTTTAGAAAGATTGCAAAACGTTAAAACAGAATGTATCGTGTTTTAGTATCTATATGTATTTTAAATTTGATTAAAATTCTTTGTAATAAAGCATGTTTAACATTTTACTACATTTATTCTTTCAGAAACTTAATGATTAGATAATTAGAATGATCCTTAAACTGATATCGGCTTCCATTTTTGTTTAAATATATTTAAAGCTTTTTTTTGCAATAATTTTTGCAAATAAAATCGAGAGTAAAATATATTCAATAAAACACAAACAATTAGTATTTAAGTTTTTATTTTATTAAGAAATAGTTGAAAACAATTAAGCAACAAGAGCACTAGCAGTAGAGCTCTCATATTTCCAATTTGCTGGGAGAGTACCCTTTGATTTGTAATATCGGGCAAGTCGATGGATTCTAGATTCTACAAGAATCAATCTGAACTTGCTATCTTTGTCCTTGCGATTCCTTTCTAAGTGCTTCCTGATAGCAACAGCCTTCTTGATCAAATAGTAAAGATCTTCTGGCAAATCTGGGGCAAGACCCATACTTTTGACAATCCTGAGAATTTTATTTCCAGTACGAAAACGTACTTGAGCCACTCCATGAGAATCTCGAAGAATTACACCTAGAAGTTCCAAATATTTTTCAATAAAATTTCTAAATGTTGATGAATAAAAAAGCAAAAGATCATAACCACCTAAAAAATCATCACATTCATTGCAAACTATTCTTAAGAAACAATGATAAAGCACTGAATCTAAATTAGTTGGCTCAAAAAAATTAATTTCACTAATGTTGAATAAACAAGATCTTTAAATAGCAAAAGAACTACTCTGTATTATTATAAACTTAATCTCATTTATAAGTGTTTTTCAAAATTTTTAATACATTAAATGTATCAAATCCAGGATAATATTACCAATTTGAGATGGAGTATGTCCCTTTTTAGCTAGTTTGTGGATTAATTCTTTACAGTCCTCGGGTGTTAGTTTTAACCATGTTGGAACACTGCGTCTATAAGGTAATGCTGACTGGGATATACCCTTTCTACAACATCATAAATTTTCATCATTAGAATCTCTGATCCTATCTAAATTTTCTAAATTTACTTGTATATTTTATTTTTTATGCACACTGCCCTTACTATGTTTATATAAAGACATGTATATATATATATAATTTTTTT